ACATACGCCACATGTCACACAAAGCTGCTGTCCCCTCGCACATTCTGTATAAACAGTTTCCATAGTTTTCTGAACATACTGCATCTTCTGCTAGCAAATTATACTCTTCTCTTAGTAAATGTTTAACATATGAACATGGCCATTGAATAATGGTGATGGTGTCTACAAGTAGTCTTCAACTTACAACCACAATTGAGCCCAAAGTTTCTGTTGTTAAGTGACACATTTGTTCAGTTTTGCCCCATTTTACGACCTTTTTTGCCACAGTTGTTAAGTGAATCACTGCAGTGGATTAGTAACCTGATTGTTAAGTGAATCTGGTTTTTCCATTGACTTTGCTTGTCAGAAGGTTGCCAAAGGTGACCTTGGGACACAGCAACATAAATATGAACCAAGTATCTGAATTTTGATCATACGATCATAGGGATGCCGCAAAGGTTGTAATTATGAAAAATGATCATAAATCATATTTTTCAGTGCTCTTGTAACTTTGAATGGTCACTGCCTCACTACCTGCATTCTAATTCATCTGTGGCCCCTTTCAACTTGTGCACTTTAATTCTCAGAATTCCTGAGCCAGCATTATTTTAGTCCTAAAATGATTATATCTCTATAAGATATCCATTCTTAAAATAATCGTATTTCACTCTAATATATGTCAATTTAATATACATACACCCCAGGGTTAGGGAGATATATTCTTACTTAGCAATAATAACAACTATATCAAGTGCAAGAACCTTCCACATAGAGTCCAATATATGCAGAAAATGCTTTCTGATGGACATCAAATAGTTGCTTGGTTGCATAGTTATGTGTCAGACACAACGAACCAGACCAACTCTGTGAATATTTATTTATTTATTTATTTATTTGGTTTGTCAATTGCTTACAAGATAATAGGTATAAGTAAAAACATAGTTATGAATACATGGATACATATAAGAAAAATGAAAAAGTAAAAGAAACAATAGGACAGGGACGGTAGGCACGTTGGTGTGCTTATGCATACCCCGTACAGACATCTTAGGAAAGGGGTGAGGTCAATAGTAGACAGTCTAAGGTTAAAGTTTTTGGGGTTTGGGGAAGAATATGCCAAAGCATTTCACCTACTGTACAAGAATCTCACCAGACTGACTGTATTCCTTTGGGAACACAAGTCTGACCCATATCATTTCCTCCATAGAGTGACTCCATGCTGCAATGCCTCTTTATTTCCCCCTGTCATTTAGCCAGCGATTCTACCATGGGACATGGCAAACATCACATGTTGACCCTAAATGGACCACAACTCCCTCCACTTGACCATTCAACATCTCTTTCCATTTGATCATTCAACACCTCTCAAAACAAATTATGAATTCACTGCCAATGCAATCAGCTACTGCTAGTATTCAAATAGCTGTTTTGGTAGTTCAATCAGCTTGTGGAAACTGTACTACTGAAGTTTCACGTTGTGAATTAAAATCACCTTAAGATGAAATATATGTCCCATGATATCCAAGAGGAAGTTTGAAAGTGAGATAATAAATGTTAAAGGCTTTTTTCCCCCAGAGAAAGCTTTCAAGTAAGCAATGTCCGTTTGAAAAGCTCTGTGCTGCAGTCCTATTATCACCACAGATAATTAATGTTTTTTTACTGGGCAATGAAAAACGAAATACTGTTCCCTTTTAAAAGGAATTATTCATGCAATGCTACTTCCTGCCTTAATAAAACAGAATAGTTTTTTTTTTCACTAGTCATTGTTGCTTTATGGTTTTTTTTAAAAAAACACCACAGAAAAGATGGTGGAATAATGCTGCATATAACTTGGAAGCTGCCATACACCAACATAACAGTAATAAAAAACTACCATTTGACAAAGTCCATGAATGGCTAATAAAATGAATGGGGAAAGACTTTTATTTCACAGCAGGCTAGGCTGTAATAAGCACCGAGGCAGTTTTGTGTTTTGAAAAAAACACTAACAGACAGAAAAGCTAATAGTGCCCTTGTTCTAAGTGCAGAAAGATTATTTTAAAAATTGAAATGTGAATTTTCTTCAGTGTTGATTGATTTTTCCCAATCCAGAGGCCTTTCCTAATTTCAGGAAAAAGTTGCTTGTAGCCCAGAGCTTTGTTGATTTGAGATCCCACAAGATTCAGGCTGTGCTTTGAGGTCCAAACCAAGAACATTTTCAAGATTCCTTCTCCTATACAGAATCAGCAAAGCCAGATCAGTGACACGCTGGCTCATTTCACACTTCCAGCATATACTTTTCCCATATGCTTTTAATGAGGTAGATGATTAAAATTTCACACACCCACATGATTCTTGACATGAGGAGAGGAAATGTTTTCCAGCTATGATTAAAAGAAAAAAGTTTCTTGGTATATACAGATTTATATTATCACACCAAGATGACTTAGAAAAATAAAGCTGATTTTCACTTAGTAGTAATAAACACCAATGGTCCAAAGCAGAGGTGGGGAATTATGGCTCCTTTATGACTTGTGCACTTCAACTCCCAGAGTTCCTGAGCCAGCTCAGGAATTCTGGGGGTTGAAGTCCACATGTCATAAAAGGGCCATAGTTCTCACCCCTGTATTAAGGAAAAGGCTAGTCTATATTTTAAAATAATTAAAAGGGGGTTTTATACAAAATTGTGGCAAAATTTGTAAACCAGTTAGTTCCTAGCAAGCACAGTCTCATGCAATAGTGAAGAACTTGTGGTAAAATTGTGAAGTGCAAAGACAGACACTTATGAACTTGGACAAGCATGTAACACTTCTGTAAATAAACATATAAACTGGTTCAATGCCTAACCAGCTGACACTCCATGGCTATAAAATGTCTTTAAATATGAATAAAGAAAAGGGTGCTACAATGAACAGCGTCAGCTGCCCATTCCATTCCAGATCCTGACATGAGATCTCTTTTCTTCTGCCCTGCCTCCTATTGCTCTCTGATAGCTCATTTGCTTTAGGAAACCTGGTTTTTGGAATGAAAACAACCTCAGCAGCAACAACGGCAATATAATTGGCAGAGCAGATCCACAGTTTTGTTTCTCCATAATAAAGCTCTGGTTAGCTTAATGGATGTGCTAATCGAAGTTTGTATAGTTTGTATAGGATATTTAGGGAAGGCCGGGCTATGCACATTCTCAGCTGTCCAGGTCAAAGGTGCTTTTTCAAGAGGCAGTTGGACTTTCTGGGTTTTATTTTCTTTCTTTGAAGACATTTCACTTACCATCTAAGAAGCTTCTTCAGTTCTGACTGGATGGTAGGGAATTGAAGGAATTATACTCAGGGGTGGGATGCTACCAGTTCTGCCTGGCTCTATAGAACCAGTAGCTCTGAAGAGCAGCAGACACAGAACCGGTAGTAACACCAGTTGAATCCCACCCCTGATTATACTCCTAGCAGACAGCTGGTTATTTCCATTCTTTTAGCAAGAACAAACGCATCAGGGCTAGATTCAGCAAACCATCTGCATTTAAAAGACAAAGGCCACTCTTTTGAAGATGGCAAACTCCACATTTTAGACAGAGAGGACCACTGATTTGAAAGAGGGGTCAAAGAGGCCATTGAACAGCCCTTCTCTCAATAGAGAGGGAGGAGGATATGACATCATCTATCTTCAGTCTACAATACAATTCTTTCAACAGTTCCAAGAAGGCTCCACACCCATTTACACCATTCAGGTGACCCTGATGACACAGCTGGCCTTAATAACTTGCTAAAAGAATGCAAATGTCCAGCAGTCAGGATGCATGTAAATCCTTCCATTCATCCATTCCATTCAGTCAGAGCTGAAGAAGCTTCTTGGATGAGAAGCAAAATGTCTTCAAAGAAAAATCAGAAAGTCCAGTTGCCTCTTGAAAAAGCACCTTTGGGACAAGGCTATGCACAGTTGTCTCTGCCTGCAACACAATGTTTAAAAGGCCCTAAGTAAGATAACATTTCCTTAGTTGTGGTTTGTGTATCTCCAATAGCTTTCCATCTCTTGGGTTCCCATGAACAGCAATGCTCCATTTACTCCATGTCCCTCTTGCTTTTCTGTTCATGTACCTATCCATGGACTTACTTTCCTTCCCTATTGTTGTGGAATATTTGTTTGCAACCAGGTCTGTATCTGCTGGAGCTTTGATTATTTTTCTTTCTGTAGCAGCTTCTACTTAATACTTATATTAATTGCTGTAATAAGTGAGCACCTCATTTAGGGGAACCTCTGGGGTCCCTAGAAACATATGCATTCTCATTAGGCAGAAAGCTTTCTACTTGTTCATCAGCATTTTGATAACAATCACCTTGTGGCACTGAGGTGTGCAATGCAAATTAAATGCAGACTTCTGTCCAGGGAACTGTATTTCTTTCCAGCTTCCATGTGGTAATTATGAGTCATGTTGTTCTGGGTCATCACCCGTGAATGCAAGTCACCATACTGCTTCTGTCCTGGATGGAGATGCAAAGACAATTTGTTCTCCAAACTTTGCGCAATATATCTGCTGTCATCCATTGTGCATTGTAACTTATAACATTACATTTAATTTGTCCTATCAGCAGGAAGGACACGATGCAGTGCCAACTGGTTCAGCACTGATTCTTATTCTTGTTTATCCTGTTATTCAAAGAAGCCTGAACTTGCAAACAATGATAACCAACTATATGCTCTATAGCAAGAGTAGATTTCTCATTCAACATTGCACTATTTGCCTAATTTTTTTCTACATCTAATAGAATGTACACCAAAATGTCTTCTCCATATGAATTTGATATATATTCCAAGAGAGCTACTTTTTATTTCAAAGTAATTCAAAGCCACCAACATCACTGAACAAATCTTAGCAACTTGCTTTTTCACCTTTCAGATGTTCCTGCCATCTAATCCACTTGCTACAGCAATGGCTAAATTCATGCTACAATCTTAGAGCTGCTCGTTCACAGAAAGATGCCCAGATTAGTCTAAAACCAGTGCGTGTTGCTGTTGCTATGTTTCCATACATTATTCTGTTCTGTCAGTTTCTAAGAAAAGCAACTTGGAAAATCCTTATCTGATGTGGTTCACAGCTTTTGCTAATATACGGTTTAGGCTGACTGGTCCAAAGGGTCCAGTTGAAGTATGTGCTAAAGGAGGACGGGATCCCAATATTGTTTAATTTTTAGTCCAGCACTTCAGCTGGTGCAACCAATTGGCTCTCGGTGATTTAGTTTTGCCTCTTCAGTTTTGCCAATAAAACTATTTGAGGCCAACATGGCTTCTTCTCTAATATTTAATTTCATATGAAAAGTTAGTCATAGAAGTGTAATTTGGAAGCAAAGTTGGAATTTGACTCAGGATACAAATAAGATATAATATCTCACACACACATGTAATGAATATGGATTTGGACCATATTCAATTGGATTGGATTCATTTTTTTTTTTACTATCGGTTCTGTGGGCATGGCTTGGTGAGTGTGGCGTGGCTTGGAGGGTGTGGCAGGGGAAGGATACTGCAAAATCCCATTTCCTCCCCACCCCACTAACCTAGTTTCCAGCTCCCTTCTCTTGTGCAGGGCAACAAAAGAAGACCCAGATGATCAGCTGGGACTTGAGAGGCAGAGAATAGATGGGGACGGGGCCATTTAAAGATGGTATTTGCCAGTTTTCCGAAGACCTCAAATTTTCTGCTATCAGTTCTCCAGAACTGGTCAGAACCTGCTGAGTACCACCTCTGATTTGGACCATAAACTGGTAGAAACATTTATTTCTAAAATACCCAGAAATATAGAGAAATGTTTCTGTTGTTATTATTTTGAGTGATGGAAATTTGGTTAATATTTAATAAGACGTTCTCTAACTACCACTGCTGAATCAGCTATTTACTTTCCTTCAAAGTAAATGGTCCCAGGAGATACCATGTAAGACTTAGTAGGTCACATTTGTTCAGACTTCTTCAGTTTAATGATATCAGGATAGCTTGGTGTTGACTATATTGAAAAATATAGTCCTGAAAAATAACATTAATTGGCTTTTCAGAGTGCCCGTTGGGTAAATTCTGAATACCCACAAACAACCCTTGCTTGAATTTTATAAACATGTCAAAGCATGGAAACATGTCCCATGAAAGAATTAATGCCCTTATTTTTGTTTAAAGATTGGGAGATGCTTATTGAATAAAAATATCTCTGAATTATATCTTTCTCTGCAGTGGGTTTCTAGTGTGTTTTATAAAAGTTACAACAGAACAAAGAAAATCAGGAACCTTAGGAGCACAGTCCTGTAATCCTGTAATAGTATTTTAGGCTATATAGCAGGGAAGTGAACTGGATCTGATCCAGGGATTCGACCAGTATTTCCACTGTCCTGTTTTCTATAATATCAGAGGGTGTGGCCTAATGGATTCCCACTGACAGCATACTCCATTTTCCATGCAGAAATAAGGTGTCTTCCCTGCACAAAGAAAAGAACTGTCCCTGTGGGTTGAAATCTAGAACTAGTATTGTCTGCATCACCTTTTGGCGGTGTTTTGGTCCATACACTTAAAAGAAGGGAGCCATCCATTTCTCCTACCTTGACAAAGGGAGGCCATGTTTCTGAAAAGCAGGACTTTGTACTTCTTTCCACACAGTGCAATCTCAGCCTTCGCTCATCCTCTCTGCACTCAGGAGAACACAGGGTAGCCAAAGCATTACTACCCTTGCAGGCATTTTAGCTGGAGCATATGCAAGGGTAGCTGTGAAGGTTCTAATTTGTCCATCTTGAAAACATTCCAGCAACTTTTCCTTTTGTCATGTATGGGAAATGTGGGCAGGAATACAATACAGCACCAGTTCAGCAGTTCACAATACCATAGCTACATAGAAAAGAATATTGTGATAATCTATGCTTAGATGATTTTTAAAATGAATTTAGTGGGGAAGGGGAAAATTAGTAAGCTCAGTTTTTATTTAATGCAGAAAAAAAGGTGGCTTAATTTTTTTCCCTTCTGTAATCTCTTGGATAGGGTTGATAACATCTGGTTGCAAGTTCATTAACATTCTGTATTTCTTCAAATGTTTCTCCTTTTTAGGAGATATATGACCATTGCTCTGCCAGGCCAAATTCTGGATGTTATAGTTCCCCTGCATGTAAAGGCATTGAAGTTGGGATGGTTGAGTTAGAGGCTAAGACTCAGAATCCAGGCTGCTATTGCCCTTGAGATGGCAGCCTTCAGCCTGCATAGCCATCCTAGACATCTGGAGAACAGCTGGGAATGGTGGTGATGTTGGGGATTGACATCATATGCCTTTCAACATCATCATCATCATATAGATACTGTTATTTACATCCAGTAACATACTGTTACTTACATGTGCCAGACATCAAAAGGGAAATACGTAATAATGGAATTTGCCTAATAACTTTATGTGTGTGATCACTTGAAATCCATCCAAGACAGCAGAATTATGTTTTCAAAGCTTTCTGAAATTAATATTTGTAACTTATGCACAAGAAAGTACCTGTATTGCCTTCCATTTTTATTCTTGTGAATGAATTGAATACTCCATCTACAGCTGTGTCTCTAAACAACAAGATCTTATTCCAGGACAGGGCAATTCACCACCACAAATTGAGTTTATGTGGAGAAATAGCTTAGTAATACCCTGAAGATCCATAGTTTTGAAAACCTTCCAGGTGCCTTAGGTGTTAGGCTGGAAGCTTGACCATATTTGAAGTGGATTCTATAATGCAGGCATCCCAGCAGCATGATGAAGCAGGACTAGAAAGTTAATGCTTTCCTTTCACAAAGCACGATGGAGATCTCTGGAACTGAGGAAAAGAGTTTTCTGGTCTTTTCATAAATCCTTTTCATAAACCTCTCTCTCTATTTTTATTCTTTGGGAGAATGGAGGGACAAGGCAGCAAGACAATTATTCACTACTCATACTAGGCCTTTAGCAAGCGATTTAACTTTCAACCTTCAACAAATCTGTTCAGAGGATTCAGCACAGGTTCTGACTGCCATAGGATTTATTTGATATCCACAGGATATTGATGCATGAATATCACCAAATGCTTTTAATGTTTGGTTCCTCACTGTCCAAAACGGTTGCTTTACAGACCTTAGACTTGCAAATCAAAATATTTAGCAAATAAAGTGGGTTTTTAATAGCTTCAATATAACACATTCCACTGCAAGCCTAATCCTGGAACCAAAGAAGTACCAAAACAGTTATATCTAATTTCAGCCCCAAACAGCTGCCTAATGAGAATGTGAATAAAACTTATCTTTAACTAGCATGATAGCACTGAAAACTGAGTTGTGTCTGCAACTCACCAGCAGTCACTCCTAAAATAGAAGTGGGGCTGATGTTGATGATTTCACTATCATTTCAGTTACTTCTGTTTTTCTTTGTATCGATCTTGCCTGTTTTCTTCTGTTATTCAGCATAAGATTTTTTTTTAGGATTCATAGAATAATGTCTGATTGCAGAGCTAAATAAAATTGTTGTGTTTGTTTTCTCACACTGTGTTCTAATTTGTGGTATAGAACTAAATTTCTAATCTCGCAGAGGCTTGCAGCCAAATTCATTTCTTTGCTACATATATATGCTAGCGCTAAAATAACTGGATTTCAGAAATCTAGAGAACCATTCGATAGCAACAAACAGATAAGTAAGGTATTTGCACCCAAGATGCAGCAGCCTTCCCTATATTATGTGCTTCTCTGGGATAAAATCTATAATTGTAAGATAATGTTAATAGGATTGGGCTATTACATGCTTACAATACAGAAAACTGCAAACTTAAAAGGGCAGCTGCACAACACACATTGTACGCATCATATACTTACAGCCTGACTTTCAAATTTGTTTTTTATCAGAATATCAACAGTATTTCAGAATTTGGAATGAGTTCACAAGACAATATTTTCTTTATTTCAACTGGATATCACATTTATCAATCCTCTTTTGTGTTACTAGTGACAACCAAACAATAGTGTTTAACCTATGTTCATAAACTGGTTCATACATCATATTAATTCATTTTATTTTGCCTTTTGTATGGTTTAGTATAATGTCTGAACTCAACCGCCTGATTCATAAGTCATGATTTATGGCCTAGTATTGAACCGGACTATCATGGATAGTTTCAACAATTTCCCAACTGAAACTATGGTTGAGTCTGTCCATGTGTTGTGAGATTAAGGAGTTTTTATCATGTCTCTTGACTGCTAGTTGGTGTTCACATTTGTGCTCTGCTTGTTTTCTGCCTGTTGGTCCTACATTGTGGCTGCTATAGTTTTTCCATATAAGTTGTAGATTTATTTTTTGTTCTTGGCCTACAGAGTCTCAAAGTTGACTCAGCTTCCCTCTTTTCAAGGTCAGTAAAATGAGAACCCAGATAGTCCGAGACAATATACTGACATTGTAAACTGCCCAGAGAGTGCCTTATAGCACTATAGGACAATATATAAGTCTAAGTACTATTACTATTGATATGTATCTCAAATATTTTGCTTTTTGGGAGAATTCGAAAACTATGTATTTTTGTCGTGAATGAAAAATTGGGAGCTAAAATACACAAGTTCTCTATTTTACAAGGAAGAGAAAGAAAGAAAGAAAAAGAGAAAGAGGGGAGGGAGAGAGAGAAAGAAAGAAAGAGAGAGAGAAAGAGAGATGCCAGACCATATTACATGACACCTCACATATGCTAGCTGAAGAACTGAATAAACACAGCACAAGAATGTGTTATGGGTGCCTTTGGGCAGCTTTGTGCTCATTCTGAAGTCTTTTATAAAGCTTCCAACATTTTTCCCTTAAGCTGAAGCACAGGATTTTGAGTGGCAGAACAAATTTATCTTTCTGTACTTAAAAAAAAAAAGTTTTTCACTTTGAAAGTAATCAGAAAAGTCATAACAGTTCAACAGCTATAATGAGAACCGGAAAAAAAGAGAGAAGAAATATTCTGTCAAAGGCTTGTCTTCTCAGTTTTTTAGGCTGGGAAGTAAAGGGATGATTGGGAGGTAAAAGAAATTGCTCCAGATCTAAAATGAATTGCTTGGCTTAAGGCTAAGATCTAGTTCTAATAAGCAAATACAGCATTCTCTGCTATTTCAAAGATGAAAATACAGTTCCTTGATTAACTTGTGCTATGGGCAGACAAACTAATAGGCGCAAGTGGATCAGCAAAA